CCAGCAGGTTCCCCTGTGGCCTCTGCGCTGTGCCCATGGCTGTGCACATAGCCCCCACTGTGTGGACCTGACATGGACCTTGTCTTCCAAGAGCTCACCTTCCAAGTGGGAGAATCCAGAGCAGATCTCAGGGTCCCGGGACAGTAACCAGGATATAGGGGAGCATGGTGGGCCACCAGTGGGGCCCTTCCAGTGTGCCATGGGAGAACAGGGGGGCAGCAGTGGGGCCCAGCTGGGCTGTAGAGGCTCTTGTCTCCGTTCTGCCACTTGAGAACTGTGATGACCTAAGCAGATCTCAGCCTCCTTGGGCCTGTTTCTCTGAACAGTCAGCAGTTTTGTTCTTGAGGGTCTGCAGGAGGCTGCCTCTCTGAGGACCCCGATGTGTGAGGGGTCTGCTGGCAGTGAAGGGAGGCTGTGTGCCTGCCTTGCCCCTGCCCCTTGCCTGAGCCCCTAGAGCCAGGCCCTCTCTGAAGGCCAGACACTTGGTCAGGGTGAGGACGGGTGAAATCGGAGATGGGGGCATGGCGGCAGCCAGGGCACCTTGGCAGCCATCTGGTCCCTCCTGGGTGGGGAGGGCAGAACCACCAGGGAGTACAAATCTGTGATGGGGGAAAATAAATGCTCCTGTTTGCTAACCATGAGACTTTTGGTCAGCCATGGGGTCCTCACAGCCAGCTCTGGCGTTCCCAGCCATCTGGAACTCTCTTCTCCTGCCCACTTGCCTGGCCGCTCCCTCCCCTGCTGTGAGCTGCCGTGAGACCAACCACACACAGTTAGGAGAGCTGAGCAGACAAGGAAACAAAGCCCTCTCCCCCAAAGCCTCCCTTTCTTCTCCAGCCTGGCAGTGTTCTTCTGGTCCAGCCCAGGCCTTGACTGTGCATGCTGGGGAGCTGATCAGGGTCTGCTTGGAGGAGGACTTTAATACCCCCAACCCAGCCTCCTAGCCCACCCCCCACTGAAAGTTACTGTTCTTTGATGGGATTGCGGTATTAGTTCCTAGGCTCATGGCTGCCGGGACAAATCATTTCCAGCTGGAGCTGGCATCTGGGTGCAGGAGGGGTTGAGTTGTGAGGCTGCGCTCTGTTGGATGTGACATGCACGGTCTAGAGCAGGGACTGAGAAGCTGAATCCCTCCCTCCTTCCCCACAACACATGAGACCAGCCGAGGCCACCTCTGTCCTTGGGACGGGGGAGAGAGGACTCTTAGACACTGATGGTTGTTAACACCAGTCTGTAAATTGAAAATGTTGGGCAGAGGTGAGCTGAGGCCTTGGAGGGAGGCGAGTACCCCAGACTGGTCCGCATCCCAGCCTGCTGCTCCCTTTGGGCCCTGACATTTCTCTCAGGCACATACCAGCACATGACAATGAATCTGAGCCCCTCTGGCCCCCACTCCTGGGCTGCGGCTGTCTCGGCTCATCTGTCAGTCACCCGATCCCCCACACCTGTTCCAGGCCCCGCCTGGGCTGCCCACCCGCATCACAGCTATGAATAGGGTGAAGGGAGGGGAGCATGGGGGCACTCAGAGGGCAGGAGGGCGAGGGGGGGCATTCTTCCTCTTAGGCTGAGAAAGGTAAGCCATGCTTATTAGAGTAAGGGGGAATGTAAGGGTGGACAGGAAGTGCCTGAAGTGTGGCTGCAGGAGGGGGTGGGGTAGTAACTAGGAGGATGGGGCACTGAGGGCTAGAGGGGGTGCTGAGAGTGGGTTGTCTGTGTCCCCGGCTGCCTCTCCAGGATCTGTGCAGCATAATCACAGGGCAGGTCCCGGGGCAGACTTTGGATGGTCATTGGCAGGATGTTTATCTCTCTCCCACTACCTCCTTAGCTCTCTCCCTCTTTCTCTCTCCTCTCTACCACTCAAAACACCATCGCATTTATCCTACTTGCTGTCCTACGAGTTCCAAATTCCTTGACAGCAGAGACAATGTTTCAGCCTCTCTGAGCCCCACCCCCCTTGGCTGTGCTGGGGGCGGGGAGCAGGATAAAGTGGGTGACCGAGAGATGGAAGGGCCAGGTGAGTGGGGGGCTCTGACCAAGACCTGGGGCGGAGGAGGGTGCGGAGGTTGCAGGGGGAGGTCGGCAGGGGTGGGGTGGGATGGGAGGTGTGGGGCTCATCTCTCTCCCCGCTCAGTGCCACCGAAAGGTGAGAGGTTGAACAGCCACACGTGGCCTTTGTTACAGGCACACCTCACACCAGGTATGGTCCAAACCCTGGGAGAGCGTAGTCCTTGCTGGCAGGGTGCCTACCATCTGGAAGGGGCCACGGCCATCCAAACAGATCCTACCAGCACAAGGTGATGAAGGGCATGTCATGTCCAGGGCACTGCAGGGGTGCTAGGCAGCCATGACCTTTGTGTGCTGGGAAGAACCAGGGAGGGATTGGACCAATCCTGCCCAGCCGTGGTACACAGCATTCTTTTAGGTGACATATGAATAAATATTTCTTCTTTAGTAGTCATGCTGTTGTTATTACATGTATCAGAAAAAATAGAATCCCTGACTGATTTCATGGGTATTAGTGCTTACTTAGCATGGAGTTAGGGAACGAGTTGATTTAAGAGAAAGCAGTAGGGGCATGGGTAAGGCCTGTGGTAGGTGGGACACACGTACACCGTTAATCAAGAGGAGGCTGGCAGGGGCTATAGTCTGAGTGCTACTATCTTATGCCCTGGCCTTGCCACTTGGCTGGCACCCGTCATCCCGTATTCGGGTGCCTGCCCTCCCGGGCAGCCGGGCTTCCTGCCAGCTCTTTTTCACACTTCTGCCCTGCGCTAAAAGCTACAGCATACTTTGAGCAAACTGTTCCTTTTTAAAGAAGTCTGGCAAACTTCGTCTCCCAGGAGGAGCATGTGACTTAGCAGGGAAAATAGAGAGCTGGATTTTGAGCCCAGTTCACCTTATACTTAACTGTAAAGCTTTGGGCCAGTCCCAGCTGCCGTCAGTGTGCAGCCCACCGAGGCCTGGTCTACCCCGGCCAGGACTTGGGCCCTCTCTCTTGCCGGGCCCCATCCCCACCACAGAGTACTGAGACAGGCCAGCCCGGGGGCGGGACGGGGGGTGTTCACAACACTGCTGTTTATTTCAGAGGCTGAGCATTGACTTGAATGTAGCCGTAATTCCTTTTTTTCCTGTCTTCCCAGTGGCCTCATTAAAACCATCACAGACTACACTAAACATATGCCATTCTATTCAACATGAAAACACGCTTTTTTCTTTTTCTCATCATAAAAGGAACACATCCACATTCTGTTCCATAACCATAACCTGCTTTTTTTTTTCACTTAACAATTGTTGTAGTCAATTCACAATAGTAAATACAGGTCCTTCTCAACAGTTTTTGTGGCTACATAATATTTCTGTTGTGCCGTAAGACATGTAATGCCCTCCACCAGTCTAGAGAATGTTCTTGTTCTTGGAAAATTTCTTTCCCCAAAGTAGAGAAAAATAATGACTGAGCTTCCCCTAATGGCCAGTAACAGAACTGCCTGTGCCTGGCTCTAAATGGTGCCAGAGGCTTCCTGGGGTTCTGGGGATCCCCTTATTTTGTGCGGAAGAGTCCTTGGTGTCAGGATCTAGACACCAGGGGTCTAGAGCTTCTACTGCATCCGCAGGGCTCACTCTGAGTCCAGCTTGGCAGTGATTTCAGATTAGTGTGTAGGCGGGACGAGAGGCTCCACCCTCAGAATGAACCTTTTTAAATCTGTGCATTTGTTCTGGGTCCTAAGTGGCTCTGTTAGCACCCCTGGTTCGGATGGAATGATTTGATGTGGGGCCTAAGTTCTGAGGATAGGGACCCCCAAGTGGTTCAGGGCTTCTGAAATATAGTTCCTGCCTCAGAGTCTCCAAGGCACTGAATTATCTCATCCAGTGTCTCCCTCCCTGTCCTGTAACTCTGCCAGATTTGGGTAAGCACTGGAGTTGGAGCCTGAAGACCTGGGACCCATCCCTTGTCAGCTGTGTGGTGTTGGGCGGGGCCTGTGGTCAGGGAGCCTCACTGATCAGACCGAGGCCAAGATCCGTGTGTGAAATCAGGAATCTTACTCCACCTTTTCTAATCAACCCAACATCAAGCAGATGCTTCAGGCTCTGCTTTCAGGAGGGGAGGAAAAGCTGTGTGTTGGAGAACAGCAAGAAGCTGATCTAGAGGACCAGAGGCTCACAAGCCAGGCTGGAGAGTGAGAGCAGTGTTCTCTGATGGCAAGGGGCTCGGTGAGAGGGTTTTAACTATGGGGTGATGCAATCAGACTTGGTTTTCGGAGAGAGCTCTGAGAAGTTAGAGAATGAACCAGAGGGAAGAAGACTGGTGTTGGGATTAGTCTGGAGGCTGAAACAGAGATGTAAGAAGGTCAAGGGTAGCTAGACTCAGTAATGCTGTAGAGATGGGTGAGAGGCCAACCCCCAGAGCCATTTCCAAAAGAGCATTGGCAGGGTCCAGTGGCCAGCTGGACTGGAGGATGAGACATTGTCAAGTCCCAGCTTCTCCTCCATGTACCAGCACCCCCTCCCACTCTCCGCTCTGCCAGTCTCCCATTCTGGCTTTCTGTTCCCACGCTTACTTCACCATTAGGATGGACTCTGGAGAGGATCTGATAAATTCATACTAAAATAGAAATGACTGATATAGATTCAGATGTTTGCAGTTTAACAAGAGCAGAGCCTTAGACTATAGGACTTGAAGTCCTAAGGACAAAATTGGGGGCCCCACCTGCTGGGTGTGTTGGTGCCTAAATGGGTAGCAGAGGCCTGAAACTAACACAGGTGCCAGTGTTCTCCTTTTCCATTGTTTAGACAACACAACCTGATCTTATACCAGGCCTGGATATGGAGAAAGGTGGAAGCTTTCCAAGATCCTACTGTCCAAGTTCTTTTTAGGCCCTCCTGATGTCTTCCCTGGCCCTAGAACCTGGACTGTGGCCCCAGGCTTCTTTCTGACTCCACCCCTGGTGGAGCCCCTGCCGACTAACCTGTCCACTGCTTGTCTTCCCTGTGTCTTCCTCCAGGCAGACCTCAACACCAACATCGAGGATGAAGGCAGCTCCTTCTACGGAGTCTCCAGCCAATATGAGAGTCCGGAGAACATGATAATCACTTGCTCCACCAAGGTCTGCTCCTTTGGCAAGCAGGTGGTAGAGAAAGTGGAGGTAGGAGCCCTCCCCATATGTTTGTTAAACCAGGCCCCTTGCTGCTTCAGGTTGGCCTTCATCCCTGCCCCCCCCCCCACCTCTTTCCCCAGATTTGTGTGAGTCAGTGAGCTCTTCCCCTCATAAATAAGTCTGTTACCTATTGGCAACCCACCTCATGTCAAACACAGATGCCGGGCTGGCACCAGGGAAGAGACAGTGCCCCCCATCCCAGGGCTTGTCAGCCCTGGCTGCACCTTTGGTCATCTGGGGACTTTGGAAACACACCAGTGCCTGAACCCCACTCCGCAGCAATAGTAGTTTATAAGATGCTCTTCCAGTTATTTTTAAATAAAATTTTATTTTAAGATAATTATGGTTCCACACGCAATGCAATTGTAACCCCATGTACCCTTCATCGGGCAACACCTTGCATAACTAGAGCATAATATTGGCCACCAGAAAATTGACATTGATGCAGCCCAGCAATCCGGTTCGGGTGTCACCTGTTTACATGCTGTCATTTGTGCACGTTAGCGTGTGTTAGTGTGCAGTCAGGACTGAGTCATCGCTCTGTCCCATCTCGCCTAGTGCCGCTACACTCAATGCTCCTTCCTCCCGTACCTGGCCTGCCTATCACTGAGGGAGGAGGGGGGCTCTGTTCTCAAGGGCCTCCAGGCCTCCAGCCTTTTCTTCCTACTTGAGAGTGAGTGGGTCATGGAACTTCCCTGTGGAGTTGGGCCTGGGCTGGAGGTGGTCCAAAGAGATTCTAAGCCTCCGCTGCTCCCTGGGTCCTGCAGACCGAGTATGCCCGCTATGAGAATGGCCACTACTCATACCGCATTCATCGGTCCCCACTCTGCGAGTACATGATCAATTTCATCCATAAGCTGAAGCACCTGCCCGAGAAATACATGATGAACAGTGTGCTGGAGAACTTCACCATCCTGCAGGTGTGTGTGCGTGGAGGGGCCGGGGGGCCCACATGTGTGGGGTGGGAGCGGATGGGTAGGTAGAGCAAATGGCATGCCCTCGTTTGGGGCTCACCTTTTTCATCTTTTTCATCACTTGCAGGTGGTCACCAACAGAGACACGCAGGAGACCTTGCTGTGCGTTGCTTATGTCTTTGAGGTGTCAGCCAGCGAGCACGGGGCTCAGCACCATATCTACCGGCTGGTGAAAGAATAAGAGACTCAGGGAGCAGGGAGGGGGGAAGTGACATCGTGTGTGCAGGGACATGGGGAGGGGATCTGTGGGGGCAGCCCCTGAAGTGCCAGGAGAGCTGAGAGGTCATGACTCTTCCTATCCAGGAACAAACTGTGCCTGAACCTGCAATGCCCAATCCCAAATAAACCCAAGATGGTGTGTATTTTCAGAGGACCTGATCTGGCTGTATGAGCCTCGGGAGGGACTGTGGGAGAAGGGGAACCGACTGGGAAGCAGGCCAGAAGCAGTTCCCGAAATCCCCAGTGGACTCAGCTAGGAACGTCGCCAGATGCTGAAGCTCAAGATAGGATGGCTCCTCTGCTGCTATCGAGCCCTGCACTGTGCTGCTGGCCACCCTGGGAGGCCTGAGGATAGGCTTGTGGGTTCTGTGCATATCCATGTGTGCACGTGCGGGACTTGTGCACGGCCCTGGCCACCTCTGTTGCCCCTTCCCCAGCACAGTTAGCAGAGAGGCTTGGTCCAGCCCGGGGGTTGGATTTGGGGTGTGGAGGTGACAGTTGTTGGAAAGGTTGGAAGGGGACACAGCCAGAGCTCTCTAGATAGTTTCTATCCGTCCATCCCCAGTGGGCATAGATTCCATGGTCATGCTGGCTGCTTTGGAGTAGCTGTCGCAGATCATAGGAGCTTGAGACAGGGAGGGTGAGAGGGGTGGCATGGAAGCCAGCCTGCAGAGTTTAGGTGGTGAGGCTGGTATCACACAGCATCCTTTGTGGGGGGTGAAGGCCAAGAAAATGGGTCAGAGGTCTGCAGTGCACCAGTGGTCTCTGAGACCACCCAGTTCTGATGATCTGTGAGTCCTCCCTGGGCTCCCCTCCACCCCCAGCCGGGGTGCCTGCTGGGTGGTGACTGCCTCGGAGTCAGTCCAGACTGTCCACTCCCTCCCCAGACAGTAGTAGTTTCTGTACTCTCTGTGGGTGGAGGAGGGGAGTGAAACCCTCTCTGGGCCTTGAGGGAACCAGTGAAGGGTTCCCTGGTTCATCTCTTTTGAGAAGTGCATGGGCTTAGGGTTTTGGTGGTCCTGGCTTCAGTCCTGGTATTTTTTAGCTGTCTGACCTTGGGCAAATTTCTCTACCTGTCTGAGCCTTAGTGTCCTTTGCTCTCTCTAAAAGGGAAGGCAATAGTACCTACCTTAGAAGGCCTTAGTGAGAAAGAGAGCTAATGTCTATAAAAGTGCCTGGTGCAAGATGCACTAATTAAGTGTTGTTAATTAGTTTATCCCTCCCTTCCCTCAGTGGGGCCTGGGCCTGGCTCTTTGCTGCCATCTAGTGGCCCTCTGTTATCATCCACAGCAGGAACCACAATTCCAGCAACCTGGAGCAGAAGGGGAAGAAGAGTCAAACTACCAGTGTTTACTTTGTGTCCAGCACTCAGGGAGATATATTATGGGAATACAAAAGTGAGTAAAATAGCATTTAGGAGGTGTTATGGTGGTTAGGATCAAGGGCTCGAGTCAAACAGCTAGGATTGAAATCCTGGCATTCAGCCACTGACTAGCTATGTGACCTTGGGGGGCAAGTTACTTAATTTCACTGTGCCTCAGTTTCCCCATCTGTAAAATGGGTATAATAAGAGTACCTACCTCGTATACATAGAGTGCCTAGCATAGTGCCGAGCACATAAATGTGTTTGATAAATATACATTGTTATTCATAGCAGGAGCTCGCAGTCTAAAAAGCCAGATTGGATAACTCTTAAGTGGGGTTGGCTGGTCCTCACAGAAACTGGAGTTCAGAGATGGTAGAGAGCAGGGTGTGGAAGATCCAGGGAAGAGGTTGCGATTGAGAGGGGCTGCCCCTTAAAGGGTTTAGATAAGCAATGTTTAGATCAGCAGATAGCATGAGGGCTGGCCAGTGCTCCAGATGGGGAAAAGAAGCTGGCTATCCAGTTTCCTACCTCACAGGCCAGGACTGCCTCTTCTCATCAAGAAGCAACTTTAAGCAGACGCCTCTGGATGGCTGCTAGACCTCGTGCCAAGTTACATAACTGCACTCTATGCGGGGCCGGCTCGCGTCAAGAGATGTGATGTGGAGGTGGGGCCTGGGGTCCAGGAGTGTCTGAGCAGACCACGTGTGCTCACGTGTCCGTGGGCGGGATTGTGTGAGCCTGTCCCACCCCACCCCTGGTCACTGTCACAAGCCTTGCCCTCTCCCCGCACCTTTCCCCTCAGGCTATTTGGATAAGGGGCACCTTATACCTACACTTCTAGCTTGACTGTGAACCTCTAGGTAAATACGCAGGAAGGATGTGTGAGCAGCCTCTTGGCCGTGGCACAAATGCAGGAGTCAAGGAGATGATCTTTTGTGTTATGGGTGGAAAGGAGTCAGTGCAGGTGTGGGGGCCAAGTGTTGGCTGTGCATTTTCCCTTTTCTTTATGACCTGACCTCAGTAGCTTAATGGAAAGTCATGTACTTACAGCCGTAAGTTCCAGGCTAGTCAGCCACAGGAATGCAGACGTAGGTGCCTTTCCCCTGGTGCAGTGCAGACTGCGGCCATGGGGGCAAGTGGGAGCCCTGGCCTGGCCCGCCTCTCCTGCTAGGCATCTCTGACACTGACTGCCCTGCGGCCCGAGGTGGGTGCCCTTCCCTGCCTTTCGGTCTTGGCACCAAATGTTCCCCTGGCCAGTTGTGCCCTGCCCTTCTCCCACTGGAGAACTGTTACATTCTTCAGGAGCTGGTGTGCACTCACCCCTTCTCATGCAGAAGGGTTAGCCACACCTGCCCTTATGCGGCAGAAGCCTTCCATTCCTGACCCCTTGGACACCTGTGACATGGTACCAGAACACAGGCACCCTGTCACCTCTTCTAATCCTCACCCAGTGGGTATTGTGGTGTCCCCCTTTGAAAGATGAGGAAAGGGGCACAGAGAAGTAAACTAACTTGCTTAGAGTATTAATGCATTTTTTTCATTCAGTTAGCAAATATTTACTTAATTTCTGCTCTGTGCCAGGCACTGGGAACATATCACTGACCAAGACAGATGCGGTCCCTGGGGAGCTTACATTTCATTGAGGAGGGAAACAAAGCACATAACAGGATGTGCAGACCATGGCAAGTGCTTTCAAGGCAGTGAGGGGTGCTGAGAGTCACTGGGAAAGCCTCTCCCGCCCGGGGAAGGTGAGGGAAGGCATTCTGAGTAGAGGCAGGGAGGTTTGAGTGCAGGGCAGGTGCAGAGAGGAGGTGTGTGCCAGGTACAGAGAGCAAGAGCTGCACAGGCTAAGGTACGGAGGCAGCAGGGGCTAGATCCTGGTCGGGCCAGCTGCCCAGACTGGGGTGGGGGCCAGAGTGGGGCCAGGCAATCCAACTTCCTCTGCAGCCCAACACCCCCTTGCTTGGCAAGGTCTTTGGGTTTTACTCCTTGTGAAGGGAGATCCTGGAAGTGTTTGAAACAAGCAGTAAATATTTTTGATCTTTAATCTTTGCTTTTTTTTTTTAGAAATAAATGGTGGAGCTGCTGTGGACCACAGAGAAGCACATGTAATTGTCTGCTTCTGAGTCTGTCTTTCGTCTTAGACTCAGCTTCTGTGGGTGGAGACTGTAGCTTCCTTGGTCTGTTGCTTTCTGTAAACCAAACACCACATCTGGAACATAGCAGGTGCTTAGTAAACATGTGCTGAAGGAGTGCACACATACAAGGCAATGTGATCCTTGCCATTGGGGCCTGGGAGGTGAGTGAGGGCCCTGAGCCCTCTAGGGTGGACCCCTTTGCCCTCTCAACACATCTAGAGCTAACAGGGAGCGTCACTGAGATAGGGACGTGGAAACAGACCTCCTGTCTCCTGGCATCTGACAGTGACTGAGCAGATTGCCTCAGGGGCCCCCAGTGAACTTCCATAGAGTGGGATGATCTTCCTAATGAGAGAAACTCACACAGAAGGACTTTAGGGTGCATGTGCATGCATGTGCGTGTGGATATCAACTCTGCCCTTTCGGGACTAAAGCCAGTGGAGTAAGGATCAGTGGCGGCTGTATCAGGCTGCTCATAGACTATTTGTGCTTAATCCATCACTTGTGCCCTCTAACCAGCTGTAGGCTTCAGAGGACAGTGGGCAGGGTGAGAACGGGCTGGAAGTAGGAGGGCAGGCATTTCATATAAGCAGGGGTGGGGGCAGCAGGGAGCTCCTGACAGTCCTCAGCGTTGGGCCTGGTGCAGGGCTCCACTGGTTCACCAGTGCTCACCTGGGCTGAGTCTGCACAGAGGGGGAATGTGCGAAAGAGCAGTGGTGTGTTTTACCCCAGGGGCAGTTATGCCCAGTGACCACTGTGTTTGACTCTTTTCTTACATTGTCTGTTATGTCCACTCCAAAAATGAAAACAAAGAGCTTTTCCCCAAAGAGTTCAATCTCTGTGTAAGTTGTTCTTAAGAACTAAAACCCTAGAGCCAGGTTGCTGGAGGGCCAAATTGACTGCTTCTAAGTTACGTGATCTTGGGCAAACAGCTTACCCTCTCAGAGCCTTCATAACCCTATTTGTGAAACGGGAAGAAAATGGCTCTGACTTTAGGTTGCTATCAGCAGAAAGGTGACAGAGTATATGTGAAGGAGTAGCACTGTACCTAGCTCACGTTAGCACTCAGTGAGTGGTCATAACTTAGGTATATTAAAGCCTGCACTGACTGTTCTTCCCACCAGGAAAGCGCGCACACACATACACACACGCGCGCGCA